ACTCCTTCAAGACTGTTGGGAAACCATTTCAGGTGACTGCCTTATGAAGCACATCGAGAGAATGCCAAGCGTGTGCAAAGCAGTAATAACTCAAAGGGTGGCTAGTTTGAAGAATCTAAAATATAAAAGATGTTTTGAGATATTTCACACTTTTTTGTTTATTATCACTATTTACATTTGCAATATAAATAGTCATGTAAATAAATAAAAAAAAAAACATTAAATGAGAAGGTGTGTCCAGACTTTTGACTGGGAGTGTATAAGTTTTAATTTTCTAAGTAATCACATTTCTAAAGGTACTACTGATATAGAATTCCCACCAGATCTCATTAACAACCCATCCAATCCACACATGCAATGAAAACAAACTATATATGTGTACTAGAAAAAGTTTTATTTCCTGTGAAAATGGTGTGTGGATGCCATGTAGCAGAAATGTAGTGGAAGTGTTGCTGAAAAAAACTGAAGAAGGAACTATCTGCTGAAAAGAGGTGAAGAAGCTGAACTGTCTGCTGAAGACGGCTTTATTTGAAAGGGTACACTGAAGAGAGTCAAGAGAGAGATGACGTAATGTATTAAAAGACAAAGTAAAACAGGGAGTAACGGGAACACACACACAGAGCCGCAGACAGACACACGGAGACATGACTGAGGAAATATGGATAACATGACAGGGAACAGAATGAAACATGAGGGAAGCAAGTCTCAAGAACTCACAACAAAGATAATCACAGCCACACAGAGGGCAAAGACACAAGGGGGAAATACTAAATAATCTAAATCTAAACAGGAACAACCTAGGCACTAGAAAATCAACTTAAGACTACCAAAGAGGACTTAAACATGAAACATAATACAAAATGACATCAAAACACGAGAAAATTCAAAACACTGGGTCAAATGACTCAGGATCGTGACATCCACCACTAAACAAAGCTTCTCTGCCTGGAGAAAAATTTTTCACCAATCAGCATTCATGACACATACTTTAAATTTAACTATGCACCTGTCTTTCTCCTTTGAAATGCCTTTGTGCATCCCACTTCCTCCATATTTCCTCCTCTCATCATTCAAGCTCCATTCACGCCACCTTTATCTCCACTACCAGCGTCTCGGCTCGAGGTCCTGCTCCAATCGCTTTCACAGCTGGGGTTCCCTTCTGCCGAAATGGGCCATCAGAGTCTAAGAGCCAAGCATCTATCAACACTCTGTTCATTCTTTCCAATGACCTCTCCTTATGGAAATGACAGTTGACTATTGTCTTTGAAAGCCAGATTGATGCTGAGCTACTGGAATGTATATTTTTTGTATTTTTAATGGGTATTTCCATATTTCATTACCAAAGGCTGGTGCTTTGCAAGCTGAGAGGATAGCAGGTTTTGCACATACATTTTGGAAAACCCTGTGCTCTCTGACAGGAGGCTGACTAAACAGAGGCTCTGAAACATATGACAAAGAAGACCCAGGACTGTTGAACAGCTATTGGACAATAATGGGGCAACTTTCACCAAGTCCAGGAACTGGTCTCTTCAAATCCCAAACAATTATGAACTGTTGTTAAAAGAAGATCCCCCTTACTTCCTCGATGAAGAAAAAGCAATGTAATCCATAAGACGACCATCTTGAGAATGCACCTTAGGGTTTTTCAGTAAGTTACGAAGGGGAAATGAGCACACTGGGTCAGACCATAAAATGCGTCTGATTGGTTAACACAGAAAACACTTAAAATAAACTTCCTGTGACACCAATATCATCTTGATCTTTTTCTAAAACATATGTTTTAGAACATACATTGAAACATTGTTCACTTCCTTTTTTTTGACTCTCTATGTATGGTTTAATATCTACTGCAAAAACTGCCTAAAACACCACAAGTTCTGCAGTTCAGGGAAATGTTAAGTTGAGGGACCATAACATTTTGT